TATATTTTGTAAAATTCATGGAATTAACTTCTGTTACTGCTTTCTGCAGGTCAGCTTTTTCCATATCATGAATCACTCTTCCTGCTGTTTGCTGAATCTTCCAGCCTTTCCAATATCCTTTTAAAAGCAGCATTATGTCATAATAGCTAACTAATGGTATACACAGATGTAGTGTCACCTTCCTCCTCACATTCATTCAAGAACTCTGTAACTGCTATGTGCAACAGGATTGTGCTGGAGCACTTCCTTGGTCCTACACAATGGTCCTTAGATGCTGGCTGGAGTCAGAATTTTCCAGGTCAGGTGTTGCATCACCCCATGGCTGACACTCTTGGTCTCTGGCCTAGGATGTGACTTCATGGTTGCTGAGCAAGTGCACAGCAGAGCTGGAGAATACAGATAGTTTCTTCCAAAGCTACTTGTCACTTGAACTTCGAAAATGGGATGGAAAACACTTTCGGTTTGGTGCAGTAGGATCTAAATTAAAATTACACCTTTCCCTGTGAATGGTCTCCTCTTTGTAAAACGTAATTTCCTCTAAGCTTCCCCACATTTCTCCCATTATTTTCCCAGACAGTGGCAATGCTGCATTCAGGAAGCTGTCAAGGTCTTAGGAGATTACCGGATCACATTGATTTTTTAAGGCCGATACTTTCCCTCACCAAGTAAGTGCATGTCCTGGGAACTCACTTAAAGATCCTGATTTATCAAATGCATTCCTTTTTCCCTGGAATAACTCCTAAGCAAATGAAAACAGTTTGGTGAAACCTAAGGAATTGGTGAGGTTTTCAGAATGGGTGCCTTTTCCAGATCTCACGGCAGTTTTGTTCCCATTTGCTTCAGGGACCTTACCTCTAAACACGAGTACTGCTTTGCTTTCTGTTCCTCCACACGATTTTCCGTCACCAAGGCAGACTTCCCCTGCAGTGTGTGCTGCTGGAAGCAGGTGATCTGCAGTGCTCTGCACCTCCTCAGTTCTAGAACCTGTTTCAAGGGTCATCCTAGTAAACCCTGACAGGCCTTTACTTAATTCTTTTCCCCTCTGCTTCTGCTATTAATTTTTACACAGTTCGCATTATCAGACCGTTGTGGTGAGGATTTGTTTTCTTACATGCTTATAATATCAGGGACTTAGTCACAGAACATGCAAAAGATGTCGTATAAAAGAAAATTATGCTACAGTATTGCACGCTGACTGGCTTTGAGAAGAACAGGTACAAAGTACCACTCCATAACGAAACATTAAATTGTAAGGAGATTAAGGAGCCAATGACTTGACTAAGAGAGACTTTTTCCTAGAGAAAGGCAACTGTATATGGCATCTTCTGTGGAAAACATGAATCATGTGTGTACGAGCAGTACCTGAAGAACCATGACAAGTGGGCTTTGCACCCCGGGAGCCTGTACTCCTGCATGGCAAGGAGCACGTTCAGCCAGTTGCTCACAACCGCATCCACCTGCAAGGTGCTCTTATATGCTCCCAGGGAATGTTGTCTCATCAGCAGGCACACCAAACTGAAGGTATTTCCATACCTAATTATCCAGATACACAGATTTGTGACAGAGGGAGGAACACAGATCTAAATAAAGGCTGACATGTTCCCTGCAGAAATGTAGAGGTATTGACAAAAGTGTCTGCCTGGACACAGAAATGCCCCATGAGCCATGACTCTGAAGAGGAAGGATGGAAAAGGGATAGACGGATACAGCGCTACCAGCCACAAAAGGCACCGATGGGATGGGTGTAATCCAGCCAGTGCTGCCATCCTAAAAAGAGCATCATTGCAGAGATCTGTGCAATCTTGGTTTTTCAGGTGAGTTATCTTTACATTTTCTTAGCTGTTGGTGACGCAGGAAGAAAGACTTCTAAAGAAAAGGAATTAATTTATATTTTTGTAAATCCTTTTCATATCCAAAGGATTGTAGTGTTGCAATTAGAAGCAGAGCAATGTCAGTGCAGGCAGCAAGGAAGAGAGACCTTAACTTCCCTTACAGAGGATAAGCAATCCTTACCTCCCACTTTGCCTGTTTAAGTAAGCGTGAATCAGTAACCAACTTGATTTGCTCCGTTGCATTTGTATGTCAAGCACTTAAGCTAACCTTAGGGCAGAAAGGAGGTTATAGCACCATTAGTGTGACACTAAAGTATCTCACTTCCTCAATAAAAATGCTATTCCATATTATTTTAAGCTACTTTTATAGCTTTACAAGGTGTTGCTTCCTTTCTGATACAGACATTTCACCCCTACGCCTCACATCAAAAATTCCTCCTACTAATGCTGTTCACCCAGTGGTAGCCTTCAGTGGCGGAGGCAGATCATCTAGCCTCTTACTCACATTTCTGACCTTCCTGAAATAGATTTCAACAACAAATACTGTTGTCCTGGCTATGTTAGCTCTCTCAGTGCTGAGCAGGTTATGGAGATGCACCCAGCACATCCACTGGCTTTTCAAGGAATGACTGATTCTCCATGTCAAAAATAGAAGGTGCTAATACAGCTGTACATTGAACTATTTCCTAAGCATCTTCTCAAGATGATAGAGAGATAAATTCTGTTTTCAGTCTTCTTTTTCAGACATAAGTAGCACCTAGCCTTCCCAGGAAATTCAGGTGGTGGCTCCAAAGAGTCAGGTCAGCAGCTTTCTAAAGCATGCTTGCAATGAAGACTGCTTTTTTAGAAATAAAGTGATCCACACTGTGGTAGAAGATCAAAACACAATAACCTTGAGGGAAGGCAAGAAGAGTTTCATGTTCCCATTCATGAGGACTCAGCTCAGAGTCACCTTGCCCTATGTGATTTGCCTGGTCTCTTAAGTACATCTTGGGAACAACCGATTGAGAAAACTGCAGGCAGCACAAAAGATTAATACCTTTACAGTTCTTTATCAGACATGACTGTATTTTTTTTTAAGATGGTGACATGTTTCAAGATTTATTTGTTTAGAGTAAATGCTTTTTAATGTTTAACCTTTTCAGCAAATGAGTGTTCATTTGTAATTCAAACAACAGAACAAACCCCACATGGGTCTTTGTTTGCATGGGATCTTTTAGGTAAAATACCCCAGCTTCTGTACTTGCTACATAATAGCATGACAAATCCAAAGAGAAAGACAAATTTCGTCGACATGTGCGAGGCTTTGTCAGCACGAACCATGCAGAGCAGGGGGCACCCCTGTTAGAAATCAGGTTAGAAACAAAAAACTTTAGAAAAAAAATAACTTAAAATATGGTAAAGTATAGCTTGGATTACAGAAGGCATGCCAGGAACAGCACCCTTGAAAAACTCACTAGGTAAAAAAGCACTTGGGAGAAAAGAAGACAAAATGCCTCCTGTCTTTTGTAGATCCACTTTTTTCATAGAGGCATTCTGCAGGGCTGAATCATGCCAGTTTGATCAGCTCCCACATGCTAAATCCCTCTCTGTGCTGTGTTTGCTCTTTACTGTGCATGCGTAAGCCCTTCAAATCTATTGCTGGCTAAATATATCTCCCTCACTGGCTGTTTGGTTTTGTGTGGCTGCACAAAGAGCTGCCCTATCACAGCCGAGGGAACAACGCAGAGGTGGAAATAAATAGCCAAATGCAAGAGCTCCTCAACTTCTCTCTCAAGAACTCTGCAGGGGAGAGGCATGTTCATAGAAAGATGACAAGAGGCAATCACCTTTCCCTAGTCACAAGAGGGAACTTGAGTGCTTAATTCAAAGTCCAGCATTCTGTTACAAGCAGCTCCCTGAAATTCGGCATGGCAGAAGACAAGCTGAGGTGTAGCTGAGGTCCCAGAGCATGCAGGTGGTTCAGAGACTCAGCTGAACAAGCCAAGAGATCGTTCTTGCAAGACGTTTTAATCCAGCTCACCATGCTGAACCAAGCCCAAACAGTATCTCTGACACCTTCTGTTTCTCGGCACAGAATCAAGTCTGTTTTTCTCAAACACGGTTCAGAGCAAGTTGTAAAGTGTCAAAGGTCAGCCTCAACTTGGCTCCTGCTAATTGTCCTCACCTACTACAAGCAAATCCTTCAGTTTGGGAACAGGTGAAAACACTCATAAAATAGAACTAGAACCTGTTGTCACTCCATCCTGAAGGCAGGCAGCTACTGCTAACTTAGGGGCTGTACAGGGACCGGGGAGCTACCAGGGCTGTATTTCTGAAGGGTCTGTCAAGTGCTGTGTCAGTTAAAAACATCTGCTGCATGCATTTCCATGAAACTGCTTCTCTTGCATTTGCTGATAAGCAACATCTGCACCTGGAAGATACCACTGCTGAGTGGCATACGCTCTTACAAAATAAACACTCCTTGTATAAACCATGAATGATGATACACAACACTAGTATAGCCCCCCTGAAATCAGTCATCGCCACCGTTCAACTGTTAGCTTATTAACTATCCTCTGTGTTGCTTTAGGGCTCTTAACTGCTGGCTAAAACCATTTTTCATTGGGATTACACTTACATAAGGACCAGAGAGGGTCTAAAATAAGCTATGGAGTGTTTGTTACAAGGCAGACCAAAAAGTAACCTTTTACGTTCTCCATAACATATTCCGTCCCAATCTTAAACACGCCAATTTGTGATGCTCTCAGAGTACATACAAAGTCAGTAACTTTGCAAACAAGTATTTTCCACAAAAGTCATACAAAAATAGAAATAAAAACACTTCATAATTATTTCTTTTTTGAAGCTCCAAACAGATTTAATTAAAATAAGCAAAAAAAGTTGGTCTCTACTTAGAGCCTCCATTATATAAAGAACAACTAAAAATAGAAACTGAAGCTGTAACAGAACAAGATGAGCATTTAACATTCTTGCAGTGAACTGAAACCCTTCAGACTACTTGCTCAGAAGCCCAGAATTATCTAATATTTCTTGAAACCCAAATTAATCATTTATGCTTTTTGATGAAAAATTAGACACAGCAAACATTACTGCTTTTATTACAAAATGTAAATAAATTCAAAAATCGTAAATCTGAGCGTACAATTTAATTTAAAAATGAAGTCTAACTGACAGTCCTCTATGAGCTGGTGTCAGATGTGGCTAAGGAAATGGAAGAAGATGACAAAGAAGAAGATGGAGAATATTGATTATTTGTTATTGATGCTTTTTCTTCGTATTTTGGAGGTGATTCAGAGGAGTCGTATAGCATTGGTGAAATGTCTGAAGGTGAGCTGGTTCCAGAAATTGTATATATGGTTTCATAGTCTCTAACAGCAACTGTTCTTTCAACATCTGCAAGCTGTGCTCTACAAAACACAAAACTACATATTAGCATAATTCATTTCTCTATAGTGAGTGAAATTCCACTTGAAGTACATAAATATACATGTATGCACACACTCCCTGAAAATCCCTGGAGCAAAGAACTTGCATAAGCATTAGGATTTCATACTATGGGCTAAATTATGACTCATGAAAATTCTATTGCTTCAGAGGAGAAGGGCAAACAAGCTCCCCTCTAACCTTCAACATCACCAGTCACAGCCTGGCTTATGAGTAGTAGCTGCTTCTGGCAGGGCTATCTCACAATCTTATTAAATCTTCCAGTCCTTAGCTCCTAACGTTATCTTCCCTTTCACATCCACACTGCCCCCTTCGCTTATGAAAGACAGTTACTATACTTAGAATTGTATCACAAAAATCACAATCCTCACAATCCATTTGAGATCCATTTGTAACTTGAAACTTTTATTAAGCTTTTTAGCAATCCATGACAGATGTAAGGAGTAGCATTCCCGCTCGGAGCTGGAGGAACAGAAGCAACCAGACATGACCAGACCAGTGACAGTCAAGGAGAGCAGCCAAGTATCCACTGCCTGCCTCCGGCCATCACAAGTGGATCCCAATTGGTTGCACCCACATGTTTCTGGAACCCTCATCTTGCACCGGAGCCAGTCCATAGTATATTGCTTCAGTTGCTTCCCAAGGAAAGAGAAGAACTCCTTGTTCCTCATGACTGGTTCCCAGAGCTGACTCTTGCCTTTGTGCATACATCTGTACCCCCACCAACACTGCATGAGAAGCAGGAATACAGAGTGTAAGTCACGTCATCTTCAGTGCTGCTACTGGTGTGTGACGGTGTGTGTTTAAAAGAGAGGGAACATAGTATAAGACAAATGCTGAAGTGGTATACAACAGATTCCACAAAAACAGCAATCACTTCTGGGATCAGACCATGACTCAGCTTCTTACAAGCTCTCTCACCCAGCACAGCCTCCACCACAGCACTGGCTGACAGCACATGGAGCAACAGACTGAAGAGGTAAATCACATTTGCCAAGTAACTACCCACATAAGAAACGGGTATTCCCTTCCAGCTTTGGGATCTTCAACCATGGCACTGTGTTAGAAGAAACATGGCCACTGCTTTGCCTCCATGAAAGGGCCTGGGAATCAATTTGTACTAGTCAAGATGCTGTGGCTGCTACCAAGTGCTGAGCTATGGGAGAACAAAACTGAGTGAAATATCCAGACGTGGTATCAACTGACAGGGTCCCTGTGAGGACGCTGGGGAGCATGGAGAGGCAACACTAAAGCACCCAAAGCCACAGAATAGCAAGGCAGGAGGTGCAGGGTTTTGGCATCCGAAGTTGAGGTGTTTTGTGCACTCCACTAGAAACTGCCCCAACGAGCTGGGCTACAAACTGCCTCCTTGGGTACATATGTTCACAAGGCAGAGAAGTCCAGACAAGCAATCAACGATGACTGAGTTGATGGGATCACAAACAAATTTTGGATCACCAGAACTTGACATCTGTGGTTTGAGGCAGTTGATCCAGCAGCAGGGGATTTTGTAGGAGAGTGGATGAAGGAAAGAGGGGTCACCTGGTATCTGCATCAACAGGGAGAGCCCACAAGAAGTCTAAAGAACTAGCTTTTTTGTCATTCCCCTACTGCCCTTTGTTTTTCCTTTTTCAGTATAGAATGTGCTGCTTGCATTCTTCCACAGCCTTTGACAATGCACACATTTTACCAAGCACACAGGCAGGCAGCCCACATTTGAACTTGGCCTAAAATTACAGGGTAGAGAAGATTTGTGGCCCTCTGTTTTGTGCATTGTACTTTTATAGAAAGGTGGTACAAGAGTCACTCGGTCTCTCAGCTGCTTGAAAAGCTACAGCAGAACACAGCTTTCGTGTATGATCCCATATGTCTCCTAGTAAGCCACTCCAGCCTGGTCTTCTAAATGTATTTAAAGCAAAATGTTTTTTGAAGGGTTCCCTTGGACCATATTTGGATTGGCTATCTCAGGGCTACCTGAGGTCCAGATTCACACCTGGGGCAAGTTATTCCTTCACACACAACCGTTTGCTTTGTACATACAGAAGTGAGTACAGTGCATGCTGGAGCTGGAGTTCAGTGTGGTGCCTAAGTCCAGGACAAGTGGCAGCTACTATCAAACACCTTTCAAACACGTTTCTTCTATGGATGCCTTCACCCAGCCCCATAAGAATACAGAGACTTCACGTAAATGCCTTCTTTCAGTGGCAGGAGTTTATTTTCTCTCTTGCTTGCTCTGGGTGTCCTTCGATTGCAGTACTATGGCTGAGAGTTGATACATTTCACTTGTAATCTGAGAACAGGCAAATACTTTTATACATAGCAAAATAAAATGTTTCTTCACAGGGCAATTTGTGCCTGGTCATGAGAACCATTGCTCTCTGGAAAGCACTCCTCTCAACCCAACATTCTACCCCTCATCCTGAACTGGCAGGTGTTTAGGGCACTGAGTAATCAACAGATTCTCCTCAGCTTTGTACAATGTCTCTCTCTGAAACAACTTAAGCAGAAAACAGTGGACTGAATGAAATGTGTATAGTTAGAGTTTATTAAGCATTGCAAACCCCAGCACACATCATCAACCTCAAGCTGGACCTCAATCAGTGGGAACAAAACACTATCTCCCTTCCCTATGTGGTATGTACATGATTATTTTTTTGTTTGGGGGCCAGTCCCACGGTAGAGCACATAACACACTAGGAGAGTATTGCACTAGTAGCAAGGAAGAGTGAGTAGGTGTTTTGATAGAGAGGTGTTTATGTTAAAAAAAGTGACTCTGAGAAAAGGCAGAAGGACAGTCTGGCAGTGGCAACAGAAGGAAGCATCTGCTGTCTCCAGCAAAGATGGGGAGAAAATGTTTGGAGAAAGGCACTAGGACATAGAAGACAGTAGGAGGAGTTGTTGACAGTCATTGACCAGAAAACAGAGTGCCTTTCACAGTGGGGCTAAGCCTCAAGAATCTATCAGGTGTACTTCAAAGGATGACTGAAAAAACAGAGACATGGCTGCACACAGCATGGTAACAAGAATAAGCACCATTGCTAACACAAGTATCCTCTTCCTGGGGCATTTAGGTCTTTGGGCAGGAAGACGGTTCATGCTTGCTTGCTTGTTTGCTTCAAAGGGAAGATTAGTACTAGAGTTTTGAAGAAGTACCGACATCAGGCACACAGCTGGTACAGCTGGTCACAGAATGCACTGCCTCATGTGAGTGGAGAAGCATGGAGTATGGTAGAAGGCTACCAAAGGAATGGCCCAACAACTACTATGATTACACACAGCCAGGCAGGCTGGGGCTCTTGCTTGATGGTGCTTCAGATGCTGCAGGTAGAGTCTTGTAAACTAAAGTCATACAATGAAAAAGTCCCACACCACCTACTGAACCACAGATCAAAACCAAGTTGACACAGGACTTTCCAAAAGGTAAAGCCAAGTCAATTCTGGATCATTAAGGGGCAGAAAATAAGTTGGGGGGTCTCGGCATGTGGCACATAGTTCTTCCGAGCAGATCTAGTTCTGGCTCCTAGCAGGTGGCCCTTACAGTGACCTCTTCCACCCTCAAGCCAGCAGCCCACTGGTGGTAACCCACAGAGGATAAATAACCCTGCAAGGTCTTGTGGCGCAGGCAACTCTTCAGTCAGTCACCACCCTGAGGGTGGTGGTGGCAGCATCTAGCAAATCAACCGTATTCAGTGTATGGAAGAGTGTCTGCATGGGTAAGGTACAACATCTTGCGCTGAAGCTGGCATTGCAACCTCCCTTTTAAGCTCTGTGGAAACTTCTGCTCTTCTTCTGCAATATCAAGTATCTTTTTATCTTGACACACTGCCACAGGAGGAACAAGGTAAATGAGCACGGCACGTCTAACCTCCTCAAGGCAGTAAGAGAAGAGTCACAGGGAGAACAGGACACACTTGAACTGGCACTACCAGGGTCACAGGCCCTGTGGGCAGGTCTCACGAAGTGCTCGCTTCACTGGTTCTACAGAGGCTTCCTAAAATCTGTCAGTGTGGATATCATGCCACTGGGGCACTGCTGTCAGGGGTACCTTCTCTTGGATGATCTGGAAGAAATCTACTCTAAGTACATCAAAATAAGGCCACTGATTTAAGGCTTTGTTTTCAATTCAGAAGTTCCTTTCAGTCATAATAAACCGGTAAGAATTTAACCCTCAGGAAGGACACTTCAGTTTGTGACTCCCCTTTTACACCAATATATTTTAATGCCATTTCAAGTAAGGTAGCTGAGGTAAGTTGAGTGACGTACTAGAAAACTTTGTAGTGCCTAGTAGTGAGTTAATTCTCAGTGATTATTTAATAGTACAGTCTTGGATACCTTGAGAAACATCTCAGATTTCCACAGACAGACAAGGAAACAGACTTACCCATGGCTGAAGATAGAGTGGTATGGTGGAGGATTTTCACTTGGAGGCAAACCACTTGACATAAGACAACCTGTCACAGTTGGTGAAAGAGGATCAGCAAAATAAGGAGGCGGCGGAGGTGGGAATACCATTACAGCATCACCTAGGAAAAAAACCACCAATTACTACCTCTGAAAAATTTAGCACCACTGTTAATTCTAACTATAGCCTAGAACATTTCCTGTCTTCGGAATTAACAGTATTTGCACTTGTCTACCTTTTAAGATAAAGTGCGATGATCCCCCACAAAAAACTGTTATATTCTGGGCTATTAAAGTACATTGGATATCCGTTCAAAACGAAAATTACCCCAAAATAAATATGCAGCATATTAATAAATGGAAGATTTCATTTAGAAAATACAGCTGGAGGAAGAAGAGTGTGCCATCTAGCTAAGACACAGACCTCTTCACTGTTGGCTGTCTCCAGAAACTGGAAGTGTAAAGCACAGTTACCGTTGGCTCACTCTAAGGGCAGGCAAGTATTTAGTTTTCCTCAAATATATAAAAGAAGGTGGTTTAATTTTCTCCACAGCTACTGCAGTGTCATAACAAAAGTATTCAAGTCACTAACGGTTCCAATGACTGATTTTGTGTGCCTTGACAGTTTCCCTACTAAATTGCTCCTAGCTGAAGGCACACTATTAACATTAGTATGACAACACTATTGATACATAATTCACTATCAAGTGTACTCTGCTGCACATCTGCCAATTTTAACTTTGTAATTGAGGAGTTTCAATTTTTTTTTTTTTAAACAGAAAGTTAGTATCAGTAACAGCTTGTATAATTTATATAAACATTCACCGCTGCCTGGTACCTTTTTTTCCTTTGTAATTTGAGTGCAGGGACAGCTCAGAGAGCACAAAAAATACTGAGTGAGGTGGGGGGTGTTTTCTAGCTGAGTCACCACTGTTCCAGAATGTCACTGTGCCAATCAGACCTCAGCCTTCAGCCTTTCAGTTTTACTTTTCCTGATGGAAGTGTAAAAGGAATCCACTCATTTTGCTTTCTTGCCTTTAAAGACAATCTGAATTCCTTTCTACGACCCTTTGATTTATCCTGGTGGCTGGAAAACTGACTTTAAACTCACACATTTCCTGAGGATCGCCAGGTTACAGGTCTGTACGTTGGTTTGACAGGCAGAAGGAAAATAATTTTGCATAAGGCATTTCAAATCCAGTTAGTCATATGACAGTCAAGCAATACTATCATTGACTCATTAATCATTTCTGAGAGCTAGAAAGTTATCAGAATAATCTATGCATAGAATGTATTCATGGGGTATTAAAAGCAGCACGATATGCAGGGGAGCATTCCCTGCTAACACACCACATTTACTCAAATACCGTGCAATTAACAGAAGCATCTGGCAATTATATCTGACTGATAGAAGATGTGGCCATGATTAAAAAAAAAATACAATACGCTGCTTATGAATCAGATTGTCCTGTTTAAGGGGTCAGAGCTCAAGGCCAAAATAAATCTTAAATATAATCACAGAAGCCAATTAGACCTGTGATTTGTAATATCAGCTACACCCTTTGTCAAAGGAAGTGGGACTGGACTCGTTTGTGTCAGATTATGTAGCTGCTTCTGCACAGTCAGACCTTTCTCTTTATGCCAAAGGAGAGGTTTTGTCTTTGAGAGAAAAGTAACTGAACCAACCATATAGAAAACATACAAGACAAAGCAAAATTTCTGAGTTTTATCTGGCCTGACGTGACAGAACTGACACGCCTAGAACTTAAGAGTAATATTCAGAGGTAAATCAGTAGTGGAAAAAACTACTGTCTCTCAAATGTAAAATTCACACATTATTTACCCACCTACTGTAACCTGAAAAGTTTCAGGGCTCTGAGGATGTTCTTCACTTTCGCAAGATTCTTGGTTGAGATTAAAGTTTTGTTTCTTTTTAACATGAGCTATCACGAAGAAACACAACCCAGTGAGCACAATCAAAGGTCCCATGATTTGAAGTGACAGGAATCCGCAGCCCTGGAGGTCCACATCAGAACTGACGGTGTGGTTGAGCTGTATGCCGTGCCAGCTGGGGCTGCAGCCAGGAACCCAAATGCCCAGGATGCTAACTAGCATTCCACTAGTTAAAAACAGGAATCCAAATATGAGAAACTGGGCAAATTGACAGCTCCTGTGACAAAAAACAAGGCTGTACACCTGCTCATTTTGCAATTGTCTTTGTCTTATATACAGCCTGGCCCTTGATCGTGCCAGTAAAACACAAACCAGGCCAGCTACAGCCAGCACGGGCCCAGCAGCCTTAAGGACCCCGTTACAGTCACTGAAGGTTCCAGATGGGCATGACTGGAGAACAAAGACTTGGAATCCAGCGCAGAGTAACACAGCTCCAAAAACAAAAAGGAAAAAAATAAGTTTCCCATGTTGTCCATTATTTCTTTCACCTGGTGCAGGAACAGCCACTGGATACATTACAACAGAACCTCCTCAAGCAGATGAGTTGGGTTTTTTTTTTGTTTCTTTTTGTTTTTTCCTGTTAACACTAAGTGGCAGAAAACTACAGTAGATCTGTGAACATGAAAATACCCAAATCAAAAGAAGAAAAAAACCAGTTGGACTAGCTACATTATAATATTTACTCCTGCATTTGCTACTCAGATTATATTGTATACTCTCAGTGTATCTTCTGTTTTGTAGTGCCCCCATTACGGAGTAAAGGGCCTAATCAAGTTTGATGCCATTGAATGCTGATGAAAAGATAGAATTTACTTTACAGTTAGATTGAAAACAACTGTAATTGCTATTACACAGCTAAATGAATTGTTTATTTAGATACACAGTCTTATGATGAAGGGGACATTATTTTCAAAAGCTGAATCTTGGGAACAAGGATGGGCTAGCCTTCCCCTTGAAAACATAAAGCTAGGGGAAATTCTATAGTGAATGGCAGGAAGTGACAGCTCTTGAGATAAAGAACCTCAATGCAAATGAGTATGGATGACTACTGGACATTTTACCAAGTAAATCCTCTAATACATACCTTTTCAAAGCATATAAATCTTTCTTCTCCTTCCCCAGGCAATAAAGACTTTTCTGTTTCTCTCCTTAAATTGGCTTCCTGTCCTATACAGCTGCAAGAGCAAGTACACAGAAGATTTTCGGTTCCATTCTGAAAAGACAAAAAAAAAAAAAAATTAAAGAAAAAAGTCATACTGAAGATCTTGTACTTCAAGTCTCACTGATTCCATAGTTAAGAGTTGGTAAGCATACTGGTCCCACACCTCCTTTCAATTTCCCCTACTCCTGAATCCTTTGTCTGTGCTCCAAGAAAGCTTTAAAAAGAAACACAACAAAGGTGGCTCCCAGAAGGCTTCTGAGCCCACAGGTGTCTACACTCAGAAGTAAAACAGAAACCAGTGCTGAGGCCAATAACAGTCCATATGGTAGCATGGATGACAAATTTGCTGGATGTGGACAAAATGAGGCAGGGAAAGCTTGACTGAAAGTTAGGACAGAGTGCCATTCTGTGAGCTCTAGAAAAAAAATCTATTTCTGCCATTACCGACAAGAAGCTTGTGCTGCTCTGACACTCAGGCCTACAGGGCTCAGGTGGACACCTGCACTCCATACCATCATGACTACCAAACACAGAGATATTGGTCCAAGTGGCTACCATTCATTAAAAGACAACCTGAAACCCAGGATAATTTCAGACTATGGAAAATAACAAGTCTGCATAGACCATGAGAAAGCTGTCCTCTACCAAGCACAGGAGGTACTTAAGTGTGCCCATATTGCCGTGTTTTAACACTGCCCCCTTCCCCTCACCAGCAGTCTCCCATGACAGACAACTTCATCTAGGACTTAGCTGTATCAGAAAGGATGTATAAGAACTGAAGGAGTTTGCCACAGGTGGAAGCAGGGAATTGGCCTAGTTACTGCTATTTGTCAGTTAACCTTCAGCCTTTTCTCTACCAGCTTCCACTGCTCTGCTACTAATTCAGATGACTGGAAGCTAAAAGACAAAGTTAGATTGACTCCTCCTTACATAAGCTTCAACAACAGTTTTTCCACAAGAAAAACAAAGTATTATGTGATTTCTGGAAGCAAACTGTCAGCCACAACAAGCTTTGCGTCACTCCCCAGTAACTGCAGTGCCCCACTGGGATGAAAACAAAACACAACCATAAAACCCACTAGTCACTCAAATACTTAATTATCTGTCTGCAATGCAAGGCAATCTATCGAGTCACTTTACTTAGCCACTTGTAAGAGTAGGATCCAACTAAAGAATCAGCTGAACAGATACATGAATGACGAAGTTATTAGATGTTTTATTACTGAACATCAAACCAGACCCCCAGCAGCACAGGAGAAAGCAAAGAGCAGTGTGTAGGTAAAAGGCACAATAAGCATGAGACTCAACAGGCAAGGAACAGGCCACACCACACAGCAAGGCCACTGCAGGAAGCAACAGAGTCTCCCAGCTGGCTATCTTGAATAGCAAAACTGAGGGACCTGCCTTAACACATCCCATCACTGTGGCTGCTTCATATATAAGCCGCGCCTGCTAAGCTTCACTGTTCTGAGGGCAGTCTATCCCTCAGCTAAGACTGGTTTGAAAAACTGCTAACTGAGCCTCCCTTGGTAGAAAAGTCACAGCTTCAGTCTGGAAAAAAAATGGTTATAAAGAGCACTGAAGACAGGACAGTATCTCACAAAAAAGAAATTAAAGAAATTCGGACAGATTTCAAACTGAAGACATTTAGTCAAGTACACTCTCAACACTGCATGAGTTTGAGTTAGTTTGAAGGCTATTTCTGAGCAGACAAACTGGATTAGGTTGGTTACTCTTCCTTCCTCTATTTCATTGGTCTTTCATAAGTTAATTAAAATTGTTTCTCGTAACTGCATACGCGCCTCCATGGCTAGAAATTTTCCCCATTTTCATAATTGATTTGAGGTGGCTCGGATTTACTGACCTACCAACAAATGCACAAAATCGAGTAAAGGGCCTCTGAAATACAAAAAAACCACCCCAACAAATCCCAGTTTCAGACACAAATGTCTGGAGATATTTTTCTGCTGAGGCACATTAACCATTATAGCAGCAACACACTATAATTAGAGAGAACTCCAAATCCTTTCTTTGCAGTTCCCTCTAGGGAAGAAAACATGGAAATAAGTACAAGTAAATTAGGACAAAAGGAAATAATGTGAAGGGAAAAAAAAGTCAAAACATTTAGCCCTTAAAAAGAAAAATCTAGAGATTTGTTCTCATTGCTCCAACACAGCGCCTGCTTCTCTTCCAGCAATCTTGTTACTATGAGATTAAGTTAAAACATACATTAGAAATGAAGCATGTGCATATTTTCCTGATTCTTTCAGGCCACAAAAGGAACACTCAGAACAGTCTGTTGTGGCTTTAAAGATGAAAGCCACAGATTTTATGCTACAAATTCAAGGGAGGACTAATTTTAATTTACACTACCACCAAATTTTAATAGAAAACCCAACGCAAGATTAAGCTTTACTTCCTGTGTTTCAAGGAAAAGTATTTTAAGAAAGAAGCAAGCTTGTATGAACTATGTGCTTAAAATGCTTCCATTAGATCTGATATCTCCACATGCATATTGACATAAGGGAATTTTCCCTTCATACTGACTACAAGTCTGAGATCAGACATGGAAATACCATGACAGAAACTGCTAGAACAAAATCTAGTCGTGTGGAGGCAGTTAAGGATGAGGGAAGAGGGAAATGGAAATATAGGTTGTACAGGAAGTCTGGTTAGGAGTTTAACTTAAATGATACAGTGCTTTACCCCTTTGTCTGGCCCATACCAGGTACACAGAATGGGAAATAACATCACAATTTCTTGTCATTTTTCTGTGTAACACCTGTAATACAACTTTCACATTACGGACAACTCCATGGATTTTTAAGTACAAGTTTTCATGATAAAACTGGGACTTTTTGCTTTCTGTTTGAAACTTAAGAGTTAATATTTTCCAAGATTTCCACTGCAAACACCAGGGCTATAAATTTACTCCCCCTTACTCATATAAAATTTGATATCCTCATGCAGTCACATGAATTCAGGAACTGAGGATTAAAAGAAAAAAGCACTGGAAGAATTAAAATATTGCTGATCCTCTGTTTTATGTTTCTCAGAGCAGGTCTTTTTCCTGTTCTTTCGGTTGCAAAAGCACACAAATCATTTCATGCAGAACGATCAGGTCTAGCCTGCATTGTTATTTCAAGAACTACAATACCCTGCAAGTTGTAGTCCACAATGGAAAGCCCGTCAAAAGGCACAAGCCATCATTTTAAAGATTTTTCCACTTAAATTTTTCACTCATACTTCCAATTTTTGAACTGCTACTGGGAAGTTACCACTGTCATGCTGTGAGGCTTTATTTATTTATTTGTTCTTCATAGGTTTCAGAATTAAACCATGACTCCTGAAAGGACAAGCTACCTGGAATGAAAAGTGCTCTCAACTTCATCCAGTTTAACTTCCATGTCAAAACATGAATGGCTGTCCACTTCCTCTCACTCCCTCTATCTGATTTCCTCCTCCATTCACATCTGCCTCTGTACCCATGCCATTTTCTGTTCATCATATCAGAGCTTTCCCCCTGGACTGCACTCTTAACTTGACATTCAGCAGAAGCATCCATTCATGAGCACAGCAGGTTGAACTAAAGTAAATTGGAGTTTTCTACCTTCATCCCCATACTCTTCCCTCCCCATAGTATTTTTAATCACTAGTATAAGAGCTAGTGGGTAATATCCAACGCTATCACTTCGTTTTTCTACTTTAGAGCAACATTAAGACTAAAAGCACTAACAAGTTCTGAGATGCCAAATACATACAATTAGCCCCTTTTGTGTGTGCTGTCTCTAATTAGTGCATGGCAGTGCTCTCATCTCACAGAGCATACAACTCTGATATCCCAGGAGGAGGATTTCCAAGATTTAGACACTGTGCAAAAGATCCCTAAGCAGGGAGCAGATGCCACAGAAAGACTCTGCCCATGAGTCAACAAAATGATTGTGTCAGCTCACAGCCTAAGAAGGGTAATGCTATGCTGTTATTTATGACCATTGCAGGTGGGGCAGGAGTAAATGTCTAGAGAAGCGCTGGAAAGCAGCTGCAGGAGGAATTTTCAGGAAGTGGGATAAATCCTGTCGGTTTCAAGACATGTGTGCCAGGGACCCTTCTCACCACAAAGCAACATATTCTGACCTGTGCCAGACAGAACTGTGCTCTGTGAAGAAGCTGCCAACTACTATCCCTGTGGGCTACAAGAGCTACGTGAGAAAAATAGCTAGAGTAAAAGCTGGTCCACGAATGTTCCCGGCTCATTTTGGCAGGGAAGGGTCCTGATGCCACGACTGCATGCGTGGACCACCAAAGGGGGTCTGGGCACAGGGAGGAGCTTGCAAAGTAGGGCTTGGTAACCACCTCGTTGGATGCCACACAGGCAACTAACAGAG